GCAGCCACACTGACCCAGACCCGGCAGTGACTGACTCTCAGCAGCTACACATTGCCGGTTACTAGCAAACCAGCCGTGCAAACTGCTCCGACCCAGCCCTGGCAGCGACTGACCCAGGCCTGAAAGACTCTAAACCTCAACAACTGCACTTGACCGGCCTCGACACAATCACTGAATCTACACCTATCCTGAACCAACTTGCACACAAACTGATGCTCCATAACCAGCCCCGACACAAACCAACTCTCAGCCACTAAACCCAACCAACCTTGACAGACACTGGCTCAATAAACCAAACTTCACACAAAGACTATATTACCCAACGACACACAAATTCTCTGATCTCAGATCAAACTCTTGTAATAGAAGTTATCAAATCAAACCTTACACCATCCAACTACAGTGTTGGACTTCAACCTCTGCGATTCATACAATCTGTACCAATTAATTCTACCCTCAACCCAAACTATCACCTCACCATGTTAACTCAGCAACATCTCCCCATCTTGTCCCTCTCAAACCCCAGTCTTTGTTACTAACAACTTCTAATCTCAACCTCCAGTGTGAACCAGAGTTTGGCTCATATGTGTTTGAATGTCAGAGACATCCTGCATGAAGTCCACATAATGTTACCAAACCTCTGGAGTGTGGAAAGGCGCAAGAAAGAAGGATATACAACCTTTGCCATCAGCATAGTGTTCCCACTAGTACAGACTTAACTAACTTATCCTCCAGGATTCCCAATGTGCTAGAGAGAGAAACAGGGCATGAGCTTCAGTCGTCAGCATTTGGTTCCCATTAGTACAGACATGGCTTCGGGTGACAATAATAATTGTCCTTGCATTTGATATAGCGCTTTTCACGTCTTGGACATCTCAAAGTGCTTCACAGACGAGACCGTAAAGTGAATTGACCATATATTTGTGGGCAAAGCACACCAGTCAATTGCGCATAGCAGCGTCCCACAAACAGTCGTGGATTGAAAATGATCAATTTATTATTGTTTTGTTTTTTGGAGGGATTATTATTAGGTGTGTGGAGTAAGGAAACTTGCCCAAGGTTTCGCCCTCCCTGAATTGAACCCAGGTGTCTTGCTTGTAAGGCGAGTGCTCTAACCACTGAGCTACAGCACTCCACCGAACAACTGAGCTCAGCCCATTAGTCACTTACATCTCCCACAATTTTCAGCTGCATCTCATCTCCAAACAATTCCTAGTTGGATGTCTTTGACCAAAATCTAGATGATGGTTTAAAGACTAACACTGCAAAATAATACAGTGATTCTGTCATCACCATCTCTGAGACGAGTTACACAATACAAAGAAAAGTCGGACAGGTCAAGAGATGTTCACATTAATCCGAGATGGATAGCAACAAGGTCTCAAGTTCATTGATGTATGAATACCCAGTGATCATCTGTTGTGAACAAACATTAGACCAGCATTCAAAAGTAAAAGTAAAAAGCAGACTGGCTCCAGGACAACCTCTGACTGAAGCGGAAACAACAGAACTAAATACTGAGAGAAGAGCAAAGGTTAGAAAACCAAAAGTGATAATTAACTGAGTTGCTCCAGAAAAAGAAACAGTTTAAGAAAATAAACACAAAAAAGCAAGAAAAACACTATTGGGCTTATGGGCAAGTGAGGACAGTTACCCAATAAGTGTCTGTGACAAATACACATATTATAAAAATAAAACAAGTTAAGAACACAAATTTAGCTTAAAGCGTCTGATGCAGTAGCCATTACAGAGACCTGGCTACAATTTGGGCATTACTGGGAGCTAAAATTCCAGGCTGTAAATTCTTCAGAAAAGATAGGGAAATTGGGAATGGAGGGGAGCAATATGGACAACATTCAAGTATAACAGTATGGAGTATAACGGTGGAGTTCTGTAGCTCAGTGGTTAGAGCACTCGCTTTGCAAGCGAAAGACCCGAGTTTAATTCCAGGCAGAGGGCGAAACCTTCGGCAAGTTTCCTTACTCCACACAGAGCCTAATAATAATCCCTCCAAAACCAAAACCAATAATAAATTGGTCATTTTCAATCTACGACTGTTTGTGGGACATTGCTGTGCGCAATTGGCTGCCGCGTTCACCCACAAATATACAGTCAATTCACTTTACAGTGTATTCTGTGAAGCGCTTTGGGACGTCCTCCCGACGTGAAAAGCGCTATATCAAATGCAAGGATTATTATTATTATAGATAGATAGAAAGGACTTTAGTAAAGGTGATCAGGCCACAGAAACACTATGGGTAGAATTAAAGAACAGCAAAGGAGGGAAGACTCTGGTGGGAGTTGTCTACAGACTCCAGGTGGAAACAAAATACCAATTGTTTTTGAGACAAATTACACAATAAAAGGAGAAGCCAAACTGGCCAAGAGTTGTTCACAATTGAGTGATAATATCTCTGAAGCTCACAGGACAGACAACACCCAAGGTTTGGACAACTTCCCTTCACAAACATTACCTGACAATTTACAGCCCACCAGAAGGTTCTCACAAATACAGACTTACCTGATATAGTCCAGAGAGACGCCTGAGCCAAGCTCCATCACACGCAAACTGACCATTTCACTGCTCTGAACCACAAGCCTCCAGCAACTCATCTGCTCTCTCTGGGCTAATGGGGTGACTCCTTCCTCCAATGGTTTGACTGAGCTCAGGCTCAATACCCAAAGGTTCAGGTTTGACATGTGGCCAATGAGCGAATCACATTCCTCACGCGGTCCAGTTGAAGGGACCCTAACCCTTCACAGCTGCGAACAGTCAGTATCATCACATGGGCTGTTGGCTATTGGATGGTTCAGAGAATTCACAGGGTTTATATTCATTACTTTGGAGCATTCACACTTTCCTAGAATTTCCCATTGAATGTTTCAGAGACACCATCAAATCAGATCACAAACACTAAGAGGTGTGAGAGAGGAGAAAGATTGCAATAGAGAGGTGTGATAGAGAGAAAGTTTGTGATAAAGTGGTTGGGGACTCTCGCCCCTGTCCCTTGGCCCCTCCCCATGCCCCTTCCTCATCCCCTGGCCTAGTCTCGTTCCCTCCCAGTCTCCTCCCCTTGGTTCCTCCCCTGGCCCATCTCCTCCCCCCCAGCCCCGTCTCCTCCCCCGAGATGTGTTACTGTGAAGCTCTGAGACACCGTCCGGTGCGGAGACGATATATACATCACTGTTGTTGTTAATCAGTGAGTGAGTGATAGTGAGTGTGTGTATGTGAGTGTCAGTGATTGTGATCGCAGTGGCACGAAGTTGAGACAAACACATTGACGCTGATTTATTTACAGTAACAGCACAAGGAACTCCACCCACAGCTCCTCCCCACTCACAGGGTGACAGAGACTGGGGGGGGGGTACAGAGGGGGTGACAGAGAGGGTGACAGAGGCTGGGGTGGTGGTGGGGAGTGCAGAGTGGGTGACGGAGAGGGTGACAGAGGCTGGGGGGTGAGGGCCAGGGGTAGGGAGGGGGGTGACTGACAGGGTGACAGAAGCCGGCGAGGCGTCCGGGTGGCTCTGGCTCTTGTAGGCGGAAACGTTGTCCTTCTTCTCGAACCGTTTGCCGCAGATTTCGCACGAGAACCGGTACCCGGGGCTGGGGGCGGGGGTGGGGCTGGGGCTGGGGGATGGTGTTGGGGCGGGGCTTTTTTCTTCCATTTGTCAAATACCCACCCCCCCCCCCAAACGATTCTCATTGAGAGTAAACAGGTCTTATGAAGAAGGACGATAAATTACATTTGTATTGCGCCTTTCACATCAGGAGGACATCCCAAGGCGCTGGACAGTCAAGGATTTGCACCCGAGCTGGGAGTTGGGAAGAACACATTTACTTTAACTGTCGGGCACCTTAGTGAACTGAAACCCTTTCATTCTGTATAACTAAGATGTATAACGTAATCAGCTTTTACTTTTTAAACTTCAGCACTTTGTCCTACCTCCACTGGATGGAGCTGAGCTCTGGATGGAACTATAATCTGCCCTCAGCGGTCAATGAAAGTGCCTCCTGTGTACAGCTCCTCTGGTTTGTACTACCCGAGACATCAAGTGAAACGGGATACATCGCTGCGCATGTCCCCACTGTTCTGGGGATTGACTCACATTAGTAACAACAGTACAGTGCCCTCTGGTAGCAAACACATCTCCCGCAGGGAATCACTCACCAGTGGTCGTGCGCCCAGCCCGAGGGGTAGCGCCGGAAAGCCTCGGGCTCGATGTAAGCCTCTCGCTGGAGTCGCCGCCTCTCTCTCTCAGTCTGCACCTCACGGGATTATTACCCCCAGAAACTGATCTGCCAATCGACAAACTGGGTTCCTGACTGCTGGGTAACCAGAGGCGTGTGGAGTAAGGAACATCTACATCAACAACTCATATTTACACAGCACCTTTCACACCGGGTGGCAACTCCGATCGTTCAATAGCAGCCGCGTTTGACCCCGAGTGGCAGGTTTGGGGATAGAGAGAGAGAAGATATAATCTGAAGATGGGTGAGGAGGGGGTTCCAGAGGTCGGGGATAGTGGCAGAAATAATGAAGGGATTATATACTGAATGGCGGCGTCTTGGAGAGAGCAAAGAGACTTGGGAGGACAGCGCCACAAGTCTTTGAAAGCGGTAACACAACTGGAAAGGGCTGTGGTTAAAAACAAAACGCTAAATAGTATTCTGGTTTTATATATAGGGACGTACAGCACAAAGCAAATAATGCTAAGTCTATACAAAGCAACTGGAGTTTTAAGCACCTAGCTTCAGGAAAGATGTTGAAGCTTTGACCGGGGGACAAAGCTTATGCTATATTATTCAAAATAATAATGAAGAGCTTTAGTTATGAGGTTGGAGAAGTTGTATCTATTTCCATTGGAGCAGTGAAATATTGAGAGGACCTAATAGAGGCGTACAAAATTGACATGATAAATAGGGAGAAGCTTTTTCCACTGGAAGGGGAGTCAGTGACTATTGGCCGCTGTAGTTATGATAGTCACAAGGAGAGCGTAAGGAGAGTTTAGGAGATTTATTTTCACACAGAGTTGTTGACAGTAAATCAGTTTCTTCACATAATCAGGTATAAAAATGTATATTGCTTCTTTTAAAAAGGATTTTAAAGTGCTCTGGGTGCACTGCCCTGAGTGGAGGGCACTATATAAGTGCAAGAAAAATAATGTACAACAGATATAGCAAATGTAGCTGCTTGGCTCCCATCGGCACCTCCACACTGACAGCATCACAATGCACAGATGCACTGCAGAACTCACTGAAACTGGATGGAATCTTTGTGTCTTATTTGACCCTCAGCTGTCCTCTGTGCCATGGCCCGTTCTGCTTCCCCACCTCCACAACATATCGTTCACTCTGCTCAGTGGGCTCCGGCCTACTCCATGTCCCAGTACGGCCCACCATTGGGCCTTCAGCCTCTCTGCCCCATACTCTTTGAAACTCCATCCCACAGTCCCTTCGCCTCGCCCGCTCCCTTGCCTCCTTCAAAGCCCATCAGTACCTCAAACTGCCTTTTAAATGAGTCCAGTGAGTTGGTTTCCATCACCTTTCCTTGTATCTGCCCTGGCGTCTGCTCCTCCGGCTGCCCATCGACGAAAGATCTGCACACGTTTCATTTCAAATGCCCTGAGAATGTCTGAAGCTCCACAAACGTCAATCCAAGCACTTCCAACCCACTCCATGAGTGATCTTGTAGTTCAGGTGTTTGCTGCTCCTTCTTCAATATTTTCTAAGTTAGTCCTAGGACTGGTATCTGAACTACCAATTCCTGAATCATGACGTTCATTAGAGATTTGTATCGACAAATTCACATTTTCCTGCAAAAGAAAAAAAAGGAATTAACTAAGTTACCTTAGAATTACTGATCATTTTTTATGTGGATAATAATCCTTATCGCAGCATTAGAATGTCACTATTTTATCTTTATAATTTTGAAATCAAGTTTTTAGACAATACATTACACATAGCACTACATAAAGATAGTAACATTTAATGTACCTCTTTCTGATTGTTTCCTAATCGTGTTTTGTCAACATCATTTGCTGCAAGAAAAATACAGGTCAGTTAACAGAAAGAATATGCACCAATTCATTACAGTTTCCAAGTCCTTGGGCTATATGCCAATTTATGATAACACAAAAAAACAAAAAACAAATCTACTGGAGTCAGTAATTAAAATGTTCAGCAAATGTTTGAAAGGAAGTTAAGCAGATATGTTAGTAGAGGTATTAAGGGAAATGGCAAAAGGGCAGGGAATTTTTTTTAACCTCCTTCATGAAGGACAGGATGGTCCAATCTTTTGGCTGCTGAGGGCCGAATGCCGTATTTGATAAATGTCTGTGGGTCACATAAGCAATATTTTTGTGTTTCTCTTCCAGAAACAAGATTTTTACAGCACTGTTTTCACATAGGAAAGATGTCTCAAAGCTCTTGACACTGTTGGCTGGACACCTGAGCTGGGGGTGAGAGCCGAGGGAGGTGGGGTAGGAAGAGAAAAGATGAATGAAAGTCCGGTCAAAGAGTTCTTGACGTGGTTTGAAGGAGGGGAGGGAGCGATTCGGAGGGACTTCATGAATGGAGTTTCAGAAAGTGTGAGCAAAATGGCAATGGTGGGGCAGACGGGGTGGGGGGACATGAAGAAAACTGGTGTTTGTTGGGCAAAGGGAACAGCCGAGCAGGAGATCACAAGAGGAGTTCCTCCTGGGGAAAGATGGATCTTGCTAATCGCAGTCCCCCAAGGCAGCTGAGGGAGGCTCTGATCATCTGTCCCAACAGTGAAACGCTACCTACCCTTACTTTCTCTCTCTCCCCACCTCTCTCGTGCTCTCTCTCTCAATCACTTCTTTCCTCTCTCTATCACTCGCTCCCACTCTATCGCCCTTTCTCCTCGTCTCTCTCAGTCTCTCTCTCGGAATCCCTCTCTCTCTCACCTCTCCCTCCCTTTCTGTTGATTCAATTCAAAACTCCGCCACCTGGATACTCACCAGCACAAAACTCTCTACCCCCATCACCCCAGTCCTTTCCAGGCTTCACTGGCTCCCAATTACCAAACAGATTTCAAGATCCTCTCATTTGTTTTCAAATTCCTTCATTGCCTCGCATCTCCCTCTCTCTCCAATTTGCTTATCCGCCACACCCCCACTTGCTGCCTCCGCTCGGCCAGCTCCAGCCTCATTTGTCCCTCGTCCCCTCCACCATCAGTGGCCGTGCCTTCACCCAATAGGCTCCGAAACTCTGGAACTCTTTTCCTTGACTTCCTCCGGTTTGCCCCCTCCCTCTCCACTTTCAAATCCTGCCTAGAAAAGACTTTGCTTTTTGATTGTGCCTACGGTCACCTCCCCCCTCCCTCTCCCCCGGCTCGGTGTCAGATTCCCCCACTGTCAAGCATTCCGGGACATTACCCCGCGTGAAGACCGCTATATAAATGCAAGTGGTTGTTTCTCTCTCTCTCCCTCACGCTCTCTTCCCCTCCCTCTCTCACACACTCTTTGTCTCAATTCCTCTCCTCTCAGCTGGGGAGGGGCTTCCTGACGAGACTCAATAACGGCTGGTATTGTTACTCCCCGAAGCTCAATGCGCTGCAGTGTGTCAGGAAATCCCTCTCGAGCTGAGGGACGGCAAACAGGTCCCTTTACTGACCTTCAGTTCCTGACACTGCCATAAGAGGATCACTCGCTGTTGGGGGAGGGACTGAGGGGCCTGAAGTTGGACATTGTGTGTCACTTGGATGACAGTATTTTCTGGCCTGGTCGGCATCCGTGTGAGTCCAACACCCGTCTAAGGAAGAAGAATATTTCTGATTTGACTGATACGTTACAAAGAATAAAAATATGTTGGTTCAGAAAACAATAGTATTAAAGCCACAAACCTGTATGCTTTCTCACAGCTCGTCTCTTCCAGTACAAAATTCCAAGGACACCACCAATCGCTACAGTCATTACAGGTATTACAATAAGCAATATATGTGCTATGTTTATCTTCTCTTTGCACTCTGCATCCATGGAAGCATTTCCTGGTCTAACCACAAGTTTGTTCAATTCTTTGCATCTGGGGAAAAGCAGAATAATTAATTAGACAAATCTATAGATTTTTGTCCATGACTTATCCCAACACATTTAGGGATTAATTCTTTATGAATGTCTTTCTAACTCTACTTCAGTTTTAGTTACACTCACTGTTGGTACTTTGGGGCTAAATGGATTATTATTAACGTCAGGAGCCAGCTTTTTGCTCAATTGCATTAAATAGGAATTTAACCAATCTCTTAACTTTCCCTGGTAATGTTTGTTGTAATTTTGGGGAATATTCAGAAACATCTGAGTTGTACAGTACCCTGTGCCGAGCCACAATTCCTGTTTTCTGGTGGGACATCCTCCTGACGTGAAAGGCGCTATACAACTGTAATGTATTGTCATTGTTAACATTTGCAATGCATTTAATTCTAGATTCCCAGATTAGTTATAAAGTACTTACTTAGTCCATGGTTTACACTCTTCAGTAGAAACATTATCTGAATATGTTCCATGAGGACACGTTTCATACACATAGTCTTCCCAGATTGTTCCTGAAAATACATGTGCAACCACAGAATATTGGAGAATCTTAACTCAGCTAAGTTTGCCTTGTGAAGGAGTCTTTGACAGAGACTGTTACTATTTTACAGCCTATTCTGACAACAGTGTTTGTCACGACTGAAGGTTGGAGGAGGGCCTTGTTGTTTGTGTTTGAACACCAACCAATTTAGTACTGGCTGCATTGACTTGGGGGTGAGGGAGCGGCCTGTATCATTATGGAGGAAGGCAGTTCCCTGTGAAGCACAGCCACACTGTGTGAAGCACATTGTATCATAAACATGAGAATAATTCCTATGATCACAGAAACAAACAACAACTTGCATGTATATAGCGCCCTTCACGCAGGGCAGCGTCCCAGAGCGCTTGACAGTGGTGGAGCATGACACCGAGCAAGGGGAGGTGACTGCAGGCACGGTTGAAGAGGAAAGTCTTCAGGTGCGAATCTGAAGATGGGAAGGACGGGGCAAGGCGCAGGGGTAGAGGAAGAGTGTTCCAGAGTTTCGGGGAGTAGTGGCTGAAAGCACGGCCACTGCTGGTAGAACGGAGGGCATGAGGGACTTGCAGGAGGCCGGAGCCAGTCGAGCGGATTCACAGTAAAACTTTAATCTTGCACCTTACCTTTCTTTTTAACTCCTTCACCTACAGGACCCAGGCTGTGCTTTCTGCACGTCTCACATCCTCTCCATTTCCTCTCCACACAGAAGTAACCTTCTTTGCAATGACAAATAGAATTTTGGAAGTAGGTGCATTGCTGTGCATCTAAAAGTCCCATTCCTAAAAATAAAACATCAAAAGATTCAGTGAAGGTTTAATGCTGCAGAGTGTAAATAATAATATAATAATAATAATCCTTGCATTTGATATAGCGCTTTTCACGTCGGGAGGACGTCCCAAAGCGCTTCACAGAACACACTGTAAAGTGACTGTATATTTGTGGGCGAACGCTGCAGCCAATTGCGCACAGCAATGTCCCACAAACAGTCGTAGATTGAAAATGACCAATTTATTATTGTGTTTGGTTTTGGAGGGATTATTATTAGGCTCTGTGTGGAGTAAGGAAACTTGCCCAAGGTTTCGCCCTCTGCCTGGAATTGAACTCAGGTCTCTGACTTTTAAAGCGAGTGCTCTAACCACTGAGCTACAGGACTCTACAATAAACAATGTATATTTTGCCCACAAATATACAGTCAATTCACTTTACAGTATATTCTGTGAAGCATTTTGAGATGTCTGGAAGATATGAAAAGCATTATATCAGATGCTAGGATTATTATTATAATAATGTAGGCAGCAGCATCTGTTTCAAAGCTAAGAGCTTGTTTGTTGTACAAGCAATCAAAGCTGTTTATAGCCATTAAAATAAAAGCCTATGATATGAAGAAAAAACAATTATTTCAGGAATGGTAAACAAAGCTTTCTCACTGAAACCAGAGAAAAGATAATCTAATTGATTTTTCTTTATTGTATCCACACAAAATAACTATTACTCCAATAAACTACAGAGCTCTGTTACTTTTTCATCAATATCCATTGTGCTTCTCACTCGTGTGTTTTGACTGCATTTTACAATGCCCATTTGTTAATAAACATTCCTGACAAAATACAGAGGGTGTCATGAAATTAGTGTAACATTTACCTGAATCGCAACTTTCACACTTGAGACATTTTTCTAGCCCACTGGGATGGTCGATGTATTCACCATGTGTGCATGCCCTACATCCAGTGTTGGTCTCTGCTGTGCAATGTTTTGACACACGACTTCCTGAAATATAAAAACATATTAGCAAAAGTTAGCAATACTGAAGAGATTTGGTCTGATGCTGTAACTCTTCCCCACAAAACACTTCACTGGGGAACGTTAAAAACTGACTGAATCCTAATTACCTTCTCATTCTCTGCTACCACAGAAATGCAGTCAATTCACTTTACAGTATATTCTGTGAAGTGCTTTGAGACATCTCGTTGACCTGATAAGGCGCTATATCAAATGCAAGGTTTATTAATACCTGATATTTTATGCTATATATAGTTATATTATAACTTCAAATATTTTCTGCAGGCGATTTCTACACAGGAATGTCCCAAAGGCAGCCATAAAGGGAATGAGCAATTTTGTTTGACCGATTGTCAGGCAAGACAGTGGTAGAAACTCCCTTCTCCTTTCCTGTGAAGGTTCTTTAACATCTACCTGAACAGGCAGATGGGACTTTAATTTATTTAATGCCTCATTCGAAGGATGGCACCTCAAACAATGCAGTACATACCCAGGACTGTAGTGCAGTGTCAGCCTAGAATTGGGAGTTCTCCAATGCAGTGCAGTGCCAACATGGGTCTTGAACCCACAACTCAGAGGTGAGAGTATCACCGACTGAACCCGACCAAAATGCTCTGACATAAGATTGCAGAAATGTGTAACTCAGGAGTTTTAAGCAAATCAGTTTAAATAGGGAACTTCAACATTAGACGACTTTCTGTGAGTTTAGTACCCGACCCACATGCCCCACCATTGGCGGGAGAGCCTTCAGCCACTCTGCCCCCAACCTCTGGAATTCCATCCCCCAACCACTCCGCCTCACCCCCTCCTCAGCCTCCTTCAAGTCCCACCTCAAAACCCTCTTCTTTGACTATGCCATCAATCACCCCCCTTCCCCTCCCCTTCCTTCTCCCCTCTGACCCCAGTTCGGGTCTGAAATGCTCTACACTGTCAGCGCTTTGAGACACCCTCCCGACATGAAAGGCGCTATACAAATGTAATCTTGTTGTTGTTGTTGAATTGAACATTTTGCAAGTTGGCTAATGATATGGTTTACAATAAGCATCAATTTACTGATTTTTTTTCCATTTTCCAATTCAGCTGCTAAAAATAATGTTGTAAATATTTTCAGCATTTTGAGAAAGAAGGACCACTGATGGTACCAGGGATGAGGGACTTCAGTTATATGGAGAGACAAGAGAGGCTGGGATTATTCTCTTTAGTGCAGAAAAGTTTGAGGGTAGATTTAATAGAAACTTTCAAAATTATGAAGAGTTCTGCTAAGAGTCAATAAGGAGAAACTGTTTCCTCTGGCGGGTGGATTGGTAACCACAAGACACAGATTTAAGACAATTGGCAAAAGAACCAGAGGGGAGACTAGGAAATTTTCTTTTTACCCAGAGACTTGTTACGGTCTGGAATGCACTATCTGAAAGGGCGGTGGAAACAGATTTGATGATAGCTTTCAAAAGGGAATTGGATCGGTACTTAAGAAGCAAAAAACTGCAGGGTTATGGGGTAAGGGACTAGTTGGTAGCTCTTTCAAAGAGCCAGCAAAGGCACGATGAGCCGAATATGCTGTAAGATTCTATGATGAGGACTCACCCACAGGACACGTTGGGCAGCACAGTCCAAGGATTAAATATTCGCCTGGGCCACAACAGTTGACCAATTGCAGATGGACAAACAGTAAGAAGAACCACAACATCTAAATTGAAAACAAAACTTAATTTGTAACAATTGAATTTTATAGCCATTCTGTACATAGAGTATTTATATTTAGTTCAAAATTAATAAACAGACAATCATTGAATAGATTTGTGTTAAAACATTAAATATTAAATTCTGCATGCATATAGAAATAAGGAAAAATAGCTTTATAAAGCATCCATTCTCCCCCTGCCCACCCCTCCGCATTTTAACATGAGTGCTGGGGTTATCTGCTAACCAGAGGCTGGCTAACTAGTTTCCATTCCAAATTTTCTTGATGTCCAGGTTGTCACTGAAGCCAATTGCTGCACATTACACGTTGCTAATGTCACTTCCTATGCACTGAGCATACACAGGAAGCACTTTATAAAGAAGTAAAAGTAATGTCAGTGGCACTTCCTGTATATAGTGCACACAAAGGCTGGTCAGTGGTGACCTGAATTCCCAGGAATCAGGAATGTTTATTATATTTTCCGTTGACAGAATTTGGTTCCTAGGAGGTGAATCTACCAACTCAATGACCTCAACACATCTTTTTCGCTTGGTGTCCAACCCCGCCACTCATAATCATGAAATGTGATTGGAAATCCAATCTACCTGGATACAGTTTCAGATTCACAGGGACACCCGAGAGGCATCAGCAGCATTTATCACTGCTCTGATTTGCCCCATCAAAACTGCCTATAATGTCCTATTTTTCGCTTGAATTTCTTCAAAGCTTCCCCCAGCAAAGAGGACAGTCTATCACAGATATTTCCACAGGAGAGTTGGAGATTTTTTCATAGAACAGCAATTCAACGCTGAAGGTGTGTTTGTTCAGAATCCAGTGACATCAAGTTACTTCGGCTATACCACCAACACTGAGGACAGGAGCCTGGAAACACAAACATATCACAGGTTCACTCTACTGCACAACTGTGCAACTTTGGGCCTTAGCTGGTGCCAAGATGCTGTGCCTGGCAATGGAATCGAGAATTGAGTAGATCCTTGTGGCCGTCTCCAGAGCCAGGCAGGTCTGCAGTGTTCCATCTTGGTGATAGACCAGCCAACTTGGCTCAGACCAGGACTTCAAGGGACAGACCAATCATTCTTCTCATTTGGCTCCTATTGGCTTGCCATTACACACACTGTCTGGGAAGCTTTGCCCTGCTTGTCCAACCTACCCCTCATGGCTTTCGCTTGTAGGGTTAATAGAAGCTGAATGAGAAGAATCCCTGACTCCAGTGACTGGTCTGTCCTTCCAAGCCCTGCTGATGAGCCAGGCTGCTGGGCTGTGTTCCGTCTAATTTTTAAAGGCTGTGTGTGCCGCCGTAAAAACAGTGCACGGCACACAACAGACTGCTGCACAGCCGCGCACTCCCACAGCTTAGAGGGAACAGTGCTGGTGGGTTTGCCATCAACAGCCCCTTGAAGTACTGCAGATCTGCCTGACCAGGTGCTGGACAGTCAAAACCGCCAGAGGATGGACTCCAATCTGATACTGTCAGACACGTCACCTTGGAACTGGCTCTGCAAATCAAAGCACAATCGCAAACCCCAGTTAAGGAGGGACACAATAACCGTGAAATTAAATTGCCATTTCTAAAAAAAAAATTCCACATGGAAACTTATAAAGAAGTAGAATTGTTTTATTTGCCCATCCGGGAGTCTGACACATAGGGACACCCATCATTGCGCTTAAGAGTCTTCAAACAAAACAGAGAGAATCCCAGGGTTAGGGTCTCATGCCCCTTGTATCTTCCAATCAATTCCCTCGATGGTTTCCCTTGAGCCACCAGGACCGTGACTGCGCACTCAGGGGCGACCACCGCAGTGTTCAAGATGGCGGGTGCAGCCCAGAAGGTCCCCGGGTGAGGCCGCAGCAGCACATCATCCGCAAACAGAAGAGCTGCAAAGCTGTCGGAGACACCAAACCCTCTCGTCTCGGTGCCGCCCAACGGGGGAAGTCGTTGATCAACACATCGAACTGGTGGGGAAGCCCCGCAATGTTATGGCCAAAGAGATACTTTCAAAGAAACTTGATCAGGTTCCAGAGAGGCCGCCGCCCCCTATCGGGGTGCAGTACCGCTCTCTGCCGCCAGAGTCTGCAGTACCGCTCTCTGCCGCCAGAGTCTGCAGTACCGCTCTCTGCCGCCAGAGTCTGCAGTACCGCTCTCTGCCGCCAGAGTCTGCAGTACCGCTCTCTGCCGCCAGAGTCTGCAGTACCGCTCTCTGCCGCCAGAGTCTGCAGTACCGCTCTCTGCCGCCAGAGTCTGCAGTACCGCTCTCTGCCGCCAGAGTCTGCAGTACCGCTCTCTGCCGCCAGAGTCTGCAGTGCCGCCGTCTCATATTTAAATTTAACCCCAAACAAACGGTCAGAGCGAACGAGCGCCATTGTTAGTCCCCACAGTCTGACTGTTACTCACCAGAAGATCTCCTCAGCCCTCGCGACCCTCCCCTTCCTGACCCGCTCCGCTCGCGGGAGAGCAGCAGATTCACGCCCGAACAAACCGTATAATACTGTGGGTTAATGTCCGTGTGTGTGAGAGGGGACTTTCCAGTCGCGAGAGCCTCGGAAACACGTCATCTGAACTCTCAGTGAAGAGGAACAAACTATTTCCGTTTCAGTGTCACTTCAGCTGATGCTGTTGTGATTGGACAACTGGTGATGTGGGGAGTGACTAAGGTGAACCCAATGAGATTGAGCAATGGCTTATTCTGATAAATACTCTTATTCTGACAAACAGTGTCATTAGTCGCTGAGGTTTCGCTCCTCAGGGCCTGGAGACCGCGGTTATAAGATTAGTCACAAGAAAAGTGGAAGGAGAAATGTTTCCCTTTCCCCCATTCTTTTGTGGTCACCGAGGGGTGTCTGACACGTGTGGAACCCGTCCCCTGCCCACAGGAGCCGAACCAGGCTGAGAATTCCAGGCATCCCGTGGAGTCCTGTCGCTCAGCGGTGAGAGACCTGGGTTCGATTCCCGGCACAGCGAAACCGAGGGCAAGTTTCCTTACTCTTCACGCCTCTGTTTACTTAGAGGTGAGTAGGAACCTGGTTGTCAGTCGATTAGCGGATTGCTTTTCCAGGCATAATAATCCCTAAAAAAAATAATTTAGTCACTCAATCCATGACTGTTTGTGGGACGCTGCTGTGCGCAATTGGCTGCCACGTTTCGCCCACAAAATATACAGTCAATTCACTTTACAGCATAGTCTGTGAAGACCTTTGAGACGTCGAGTAGACATAAAAAGCGCTATATCGAATGCAAGGATTATTATTATTATCCCACCTACTCACGAAAATCCAGAGATAGATTGTTGGAATGGAATGCGCACTCTCTCTCCCTGGAGGGACGGATCCTGCTTACCTCATTCTGGAAAGAACTATGCACAAGTTGGCAACAGCCAAGACTTGGGGACCCCAGAGTGTACAATGGGGTAACTGCTGGAGCCTAACCAGTTAAAACCGTAAAGCTTGCCATTGATATTGCTGTCTGGTAAGCTTTCCTGCTGCTAGTCCAGCAAGGACCACCCTACCTCGTCCTCCACATCCCCCCTACGTGAAAAGCGCTATATCAAATGCAAGGATTATTATTATTATTACCTGTTAAGGCTTTGGCTTGCAGGGTTAACAGGAGCTGAGTGGAATGACTCCTTGCCCCCAGTGACTGGTCTGCCCTTCCAGGTCCTACCGATGAGCCAGGCTGGCTGTGCTGAAATCAGCAACAATAAAAAATTACATTTATACAGCACCTTTCACGTCAGGAGGACATCCCAAAGCGCTGGACAGTCAGGGATCCATACTCAAGCTAGTGCTTGGGATCAGGAGGGGTGGATGGCGAGGAGTGTATGGGTAGGAGGGTTACTGAAGCCACGGTTGAAGAAGGGTCTTGACCGAGGCAAGGCAGAGGGTCTGTGGGATGAATTTCCAGAGGGTGGGGGCAGAGAGGCTGAAGTCCCGCCCACCAATGGTGGGATGGACGAGGTGGGGGACGAAAAGCAGGCCGGAGCCCGCTGACCGGAGGAAGCGGACAAGTTAGTAGGGGGTTAGGAGGTCAAGGCAATGCAGGGCTTTGAAGGCGAGGACCAGCATCTTGAACTATATCTTCTGAGTGATGGGAAGCCAGTGGAGTCGGGCGAGGATGGGTGGGGTGATAGGGTCATGGAGCCTGGTGTGAGAGAGAACACAGGCTGCAGAGTTCTGAATGAGTGAAGGGAGGAGTTGGGGAGTCTGATTAGCAGGGAATTTGCATAGTCAAGCCTGGATGTGATGAACGACCCTATCATCCCCATCCTTGCCCAACACGGAGTATTTTTAACAGCAAAATTGCACATAAGTGAATAGATCACAAGATTGGTCATGAGATGACTAGACCACAAGATTGGTTTGGATGAATCCCCGTCTCAAGTGACTGATCTGACCTTCCCGAGTCCTGTCTACAACCCAGGCTGGCTGGTCAGTCATCACCAGTACCTTATAGTACAGAACTGCAGATCCATCTGGCTCAGGAAAAGGGCTACTATGGACTATTAAAACCACAAGCATGTTACCTCAAATAGCTCAGCCCCAAGGAGACCCTATTTCCAAGAAGTAATTTCATAATGCTTCCTTTTAACAATGTAACTGATATAGACCATCAAAATGAAAACCTTGGAAATCCCCTTTGTAATTCATGGGAAGAGAAAGCACAATCTTAATTATGTGAAGATTGCAAATCTGGACTTCAACTTTCTCTTCTATGTTTTTCAAAATCATTTTAAAAGATAAGAACAATGGATAATGCTCTTCTTAAAATTTTCCAAAGCCCCTTAATTTTGAGTGATTTCAGGGCAAAACCTTAGGCAAGTTTCCTTACTTCACACACACGCCTCTGTTTACCTAGCAGTAAGTAGGAACCCAGTTGTTAAGTCGATTGGCAGATCGCTTTTCTTGGATCATAATTCCTTTAAAAAAATATGGTCACTCAATCCACGATTGTGGGACACTGCTGTGTAGCATTGGCTGCCGCATTTCGCCCACAAAATATACGGTAAATTCACTTTACAGTATATTCTGTGAAGCACTTTTGAGACGTCTACAAGACGTTATAAAGCGCTCTATCAAAAGCAAGGATTATTATTTCCTCTTTGAGAAAGTGAACATAAATTTGCCTTCAAAATATAACTCTTTCCACTTTAAACTTTCCCTCACATTTATCATATTTGCAGACAACTTTCCCCCCACTCACAACCCACCATAAAGTTCCATATTGCCCTGTTCTTCTCGCCCCCAGTCTCTCACTTACCCCAGTATCTGTAGCTTGTGATATTTATAACTGTTTCAATTGCATTTTTAAGGTTACCTACCCTATTGTAGCTCTAACTCTCATTCATTCATTCAGTACCTGCTTTTTGTAATAGTCTTATTTTTAGTATTACCTACGTGTTCCTGAATGGATTGGATTGGGTGGAGGTGGTGAAGGAAAGTAGTTTTATGTTCAGTGCACATTGTCCGCTTAGAGTGAAGAGACTGGATTACACTCAAGTGTCTCTTTCCAGTGACAGGCTTTGGAAGCTCTAGTTTCAACTAAAACAACTTACATTTATATGGTGCCTTTCACGCTTAACAGTGGCGGAGCCCAATGCCACGCCAGAGGGTGGGGGTGGGGGAAAGTGACCGAAGGCACAGTTAAAGAGGAGGGTCTTCAAGCGTGACCTGAAAACGGGGAGAGGTGGGGCAAGGTGAAGGGAATGAGGAAGAGAGTTCCTCAGCTTCGGGACCTTGTGTTTTTAATTGTTTCCTTGTTCCTCATTTTGCGCAATTTCTCCATTTCCCTGTGTCTGTTACCCATGGCACTATATATAAATTCAATGTTATCGCGTTTTATTAAAAAGCTGCAAATTTCAGAAGTCAAGTTTGTTTCATTTATTATCCAATAGCCCCTTACGCTGGATGAAGTCTCCAAGCGCTTAACAGTGGCGGAGCCCTCAAAGAGGAAAGTCCTTGAGATACCAGGCTGACCAAAACACAAACCAGATGTTCACTGTTTTTGTTTACCTTCCCATTCCATTTGTAAGAAAATAACCATGAACATCTTGGAAACAACTGGGGAATTCTTACAAAGTTTTATCAAGACTTAAAAAGATTCAATTCAGAATAATTTTTTTTCTCCTCTTCTTACTTCCTTAGCCATCTGTTTTACATGCATCCGAATTCCATTCAGTTTCTTTACTAGTTTTTGCTGCTCTTCTCCACGCAAACTTATTTTATAAGTTGGATAAACATCTAAATCCTAATCCTAATGAGGACATCCCAAGGCGTTGACCAGGGATTAGGACCCGAGGCGGGGGTGGGGGGGAGGGTGTTGGGATCAGGGAGAGTGGAGGAGTGGGAGGGTGTGGGTAGGAGGAGAGGGTGAAGGCCCCACCGCCTATGGTGGGGCGGGATGGGCGGTGGACATGGAGCAGGCCAGAGCCTGCTGAGCAGAGGGAATGGACAGGTTGATAAAGGGTTAGCAGGTTGGAGAGGTAGGAGGGGGGAAGGCCATGGAGAGTCTTGAAGGTGAGGACAAGATTTGAACTCGATCCTCTGAGCAATGGGGAGCCAGTGGAGCTGGGTGAGTGTGGGTGTGATGGGCTCACGGAGTCTACTGCGGAAGAGGACATGAGCTGCATACTTCTGGATGATCTGCATCTTGTGGAGGGAAGAGTTGGGAAGGACGACAAGCAGGGCATTGGTATAGTCAAGCCTGGTTTTAATGAAGGGTATGAGGATTTCGGCAGCGGCGGAGTCAGGCAATGTTAAGGAGGTGGGGGAAGGCAGATCGGGACATGGCACCGATGTAGGGTAGAAAGGACAGTTGAGGGTTGAACAAGATAACCAGGTTCTACTCTGACTTGGTGAGGTGGAGTGTGCAACCGTAGATGCTGATGCTGCCAGTACCTGAGGTGCAGAGGTGCTGGCGCAAGCCAATCAGCAGAACCTTGGCCTTGCTGACGTTGAACTGTCGAAAGTTGGTTCTCATACAGAACTTGATGTCTGACAGACATTCTGTCAGGTAGGCAGTGGTCCTGGAGTCAAGGGTGGAGGCAGAGAGATAGAGTTGGGTATCATCTGCATACATGTGGAAGTTGACCCCGTGTCTGCAGATGATGTCACCAAGAGGGGCCATGTACAGATTGAAGAGAAGAGGACCGAGGACAGAGCCCCGAGGAACAAAAGACAGTGCGGGGGCATTTTTTTTAGCAACTTATTGCACCAATCCAAACTCCAGCCTATTCCAGTCAGACTCTAACCAAGAGGGTAGTGAATTTATGGAATTCTGTACCCCAGAAGGCTGTGGATGCTCAGTCATTGAACATATTCAAGACTGAGATCGATAGATTTTTAAAAACTAAAGGGATTAAAGGACATGGGAATAGGGCGGGTAAATAGAATTAGGATAGGTCAGCCACGATCGTATTAAATTGCGGGGGAGGCTCAAGGGCCTCGAATGGCCTAATCCTGCTCCTATTTCTTATGTTCTATCTACAGTAATCCAGTGTGATCAGCATTCTTGCAAAACAGTAAATCTACTCACGACTTTTATCTTTATAATCATATTTTGAACGCACAGTAATTAACAGAA